TGGAACTGAGGGGCCAATCTAGGAAAAGGAATATATCATATATATTTAATATATTTTTATTTAATATTGGAGCCAGCGTGGTGTCGTGGTTTGAGGGATAGACTGTAACTCTGGAGACCAGGAGTCAATTCTCCACTCAGCCCTGAAACCCACTGGGTGACCCTGGTCAAGTCACATGCTCTCAGCCTTAGGGGAAGGCAATGGCAAAACTTCTCTGAACAAATATTGCCAAGAAAGTCAGAAACAATTTGAAAGCACACAGCACACAGACATTTAATATATGTATTAATAACTTGGGAGGCCAACAATGTGGATGCAAATGCAAGTATGTGGGGGGAAGGCTAAGTGAGCACCAACTTCTTCTGCATCCAAATATATGTGAGAGATCCCTTCTCCCAGTTTGACCCCACAGTTCCAAACACTAGGGAACCCTGTCACTACCCTGTCCTTGTTCCCTCAATTCTTTCCGTTCTGCATTGGGTTATTTGGCCTCAGGAAGACCCTTGTACATAAAGCCTTGTGGTAGTGTTGTTGTGTGGGTTCCTGAGTTTGGTATGCTCCAAACTGACTCCAATTCAGGCTTGAAAGCCAGCCAGACACAAATTAAAACAACAACAGAAATAGATTTATTGCATGGGAACATAATAAACTATGATATTCTCTTCTTTAGAGTCCTCCATATCACAGAAAGGTTCTTTCTTCTTGCTCAAATCCAAAACTCTGGCTGAATCTGCACTGCAAAAAACTAATGCAGTTTGACACCATTTTAACTCCTGTGGCTCAGTGCTATGGAATTCTGAGATTTGTAGTTTTGTGAGATGTTTAGCCTTCTCTGTCAGAACGCTGTGGTGCCACAGCAAACTACAAATCCCAGGATTCTATAGCATTGAGCCATGGAAGTTAATGGTGTCAAACTGCATTATTTATGCAGTGCAGATTCAGCCTCTGTTAGTTCTAAATGCTCTCTGTGTCAGCTTCCAACCCCCCCCTCCAAAAAATATTTGGGGGTCTGATTCAGCCGTAAGATGGTTCCTTTAAAGTTAAGTCTAAAATTCTTGAGTGGATTCACAGTCTTACTGGCATCAAGAGTTGCCACTGAACAAGTTGCTCTTCAAGGCACAGTCTACTGCCAGAAATAATTCAGTTTGAGGCCACTTTAACTGTCATGGCTCAATGCTAGGGAATCATGGGAACTGTAGTTTTTTCTGAGACATTGAGCCTTCCCTGTCAGAGAGCTCTGGTGCCACAATAAACTACAGTTCCCATGATTCCTTAGCACTGAGCCAAGCCAGTTAAAGTGGCCTCAAGCTGCATTATTTCTGGCAGCCTGTAAAGGCCCAGAGTTTGTTTTGTCTGCCTCTTGTTGTCTTCACTCAGAGAAGGCAAGACCAGAGGAAAGAAGGCATGACTGGCCCCTTGAGGGAGCTGCTCCTTGTGCTGGTTTCACTCATCTTTCATCCCTTTCCTATAGCTGACTGAGCCTTAGGTTCAAGGAGTGCTCTTTGAGGCTTCAGCAGAGTTGCTTTCCTAGTTTGGAGGGTTGTAGAGCTTTGGTGAAAGGCCTTACCTGAGGCATTTGTGGTCAACATCTGCCAGAGGTTCATCATAGATTTGTGCTGGAAGATCTACAAATGCCTAGAAAAGTGTTTTTTCTAGGAACTTCTAGGTTCTCCAGCTCAGCCCTACTAAATTTCCTACTGGAAGAACCTAGAGTCCTAGCTTATCTCATCTTCTTTGCATTGTGCACCTTTGGAAACCAGCTGGCTCAATAATGAAGGTGACTAGATAATGAATTGCAGTATATCTCTAGTAGCATTAATGCCTTTCGTTCTTATTTGATGCCAAATAGGCTTTGACTTGGGGTGATCCTATGAATGACAGGCTACGAAGACCTCTGGTCATCAACATCTCAGGTCTAATTAACTCAGGGCACCAGCTTCTGTTATTTATCTTCCCCTTTTCCTACTGCTTTCCACCTTACCAAACATTATAGTGGTCCCTCCACATTTGCTGAGGTTAAGGATGAAGGACCCTCATGAATGGAGGAAAAACACAAATAAAAACCACTATTCTTTTTACCTGAGAGAACACCTCTCCTGGAATCTCCAGGTCCTCCACTTAAACTCTATGGTCAACATCTGCCAGAGGTTGATCATAGATGCATGCTGGAAGACCTACAAATGCCTAGAAAAGTGTTTTCTCTAGGAACTTCTAGGTTCTCCAGCTCAACCCTATGGTCATGCACTGAAGGACTTAGAGATTCCTAGAGAGAACATACTAATCAAAACTGCAAATAATCAAATCTGCAAAAGTCAAAGCCACTAATGTGGAGGGCCAACTGTAATTGGGTTTTAGGGAGTGAATGTAATATTATTATGCTTCTTGTATACTTTATTTTTTATGAATAGATGTTGTGATAAAGAAGATCATAAAGAAAAGCTTTTCATTTTGATCCATAAGTTTGGAAATACAGTGTTAGAAATATTTCAAATGTACTTGGCAGTGTCTTGTAATATAATGACAAGAGATATCTATCACCTGGCCATGAACAAGCATTAGTTAAATGGAAAAGAAAGTTGGCATTCCATTGGGCTTGGATTAATTGCAACTACAAACACTGACCGAGGATTTAATTGTGGATTACTTTTACTGCAAATACTCACTATGGACTCATTGGAACATAAGTATTGTGACATTATGATGTTATGTGATATTTGTTGTTGTTAACTGCCCTCAAGTTATTATCTTATGATAAAGAATATCAGCTTTAACTGAATTTGTTTGATTGTGTTGTGATTTCATAAGACTAAATTTGTAAATGTTACTATAGAAAGCTTATAATTGATTATTATTTATTAAAGAGGTATATTTCAACGTTATATTTCTGGGGTTCATTTATCCTCTTTTGTATGCTTATCACACCCCAGAGGGATTTGTTTTGGTTGTGTTTATTGCATTTGTGGCCTAGCAGACCAAATTTAGCCCACAGGCCACAAGTCCCCCATTCCTCTCACAAGGGTGTTGCTTTGCCTCAATCCCAGAAAGAAACAAAAAAATCCTGTTCAGTTCAGGAACGTAAGAGAACTGACCTGTGATGTAGGATAGGAGTCTCCATTTAGACCTTGCAGGCCCATGAACATGTCCCCAGAACTGGAGAGATTGAAGGAGCCACCAGAGCCTATCGGAAAAACAGAAGAAGGGGTGGGAGGGAAGACAATGGTAGGGTGAATGGGATGGCAGAAGCAGCTGTCTCTAACAAACAAAAGATTAATAAGACCACTACAAAGATGACTAGTTGGAGAGCAAGCCAAGAAAACCCAACTGTGGGAGGAGCCCTTGGCTACTCTGAGGCCAAAAATGGGGACGCAAAGGCTAGTGTGTGGGGGAAGGCAAAAGACGGAGCACCAACTTGTTCTGCATCAAGTAGGGAGCACTGACTGTGGGGAATGGGTTGGGGGTGCTGGTAGCGGAGGCACCTCCCTAGGAACTCCAGCCCTTTTTGGAGCGGAGAGGGGAGTTCCATGTGTCTCCAATCCCAGCAAGGACTCCTGCACCAACATGGGGTGTAGTGGAGTTTTTTGGGGGGAGGGGAGTTACCCGCGGAGGAGGGGGTGTTGGGGGAGTCGCCCCCACTCTGTGCGGCGCTGACAGCCGTTTTCACGGCGTAAATATTGGCTTCCTCTTGGAACTTGCCGATGTTCTTCTTATAGCGGATGCGCTTGTTCCCGAACCAGTTTGAGACCTGGAAGGAGGGAGGGGAGGGGAGGGGGGAGATTGGGGGAGGAGAGATCAAAATGGAGGGACAGGAAATGGGGAGGGGATGAGGGAAAAATGAGGACGGGGAAGGGAAGGGAGGAGGGGGATTATGTATTGACAGGTCAGCCAAACAAGAAGTCCTTCCCCACCACCAACCCCTCTGTCCCAAATTTGCTCTACTATCCCAAGTAACACCCATGGGGCCCGTCTAGCGTAGCCTCAGGCCTGCTCCCCCACACATCCCCTGGTACCTGTGAGACTGTGATGCCACATTTCTTGGCAAGCTCCTCCTTGGCCTCCTCACTGGGATAGGGGTTGCTCAGGTGTGAGTAGAAATACTCATTGAGCACTTCTGTGGCTTGTTTGCTGAAATTGCGTCGCTTCCGCCTGGGGGGGGGGGAGTACACACAGGGATAGCAGAGAAATGGGTGGGATAAATGATAATAGTTATGAAAGAGAAATAGACAATATCAGGGTGGAAGGGATTAGGAAAGAGAGAAAAATAATAATGTGAATTAGAGAACTCCTCTTCTTGCTGCAGCTCCTCTTGTGCCTCTTCCAAGTTGTTTTCAACTTATGGTTACCTTTAAAAACCTATCATGGGCTTTCTTGGCAATATCTCTTCAAAGGGGGTTTGCTTTTCTGGGCACTATGGTTAAGGGGGCTGATATGCCATCCCAAATCCTGACAGTTGTCCACCTATGATGCAAGTGATGAAACTGCCTATTTGAACACTCCCCATTACGCCTGAAGTTTCAAGCATGCAGTGCAAAAGAGCAGAGGGAAGGGAGGAGAGCAATACAGTGCTCCTCCTTAGTGAGGGAGGTGATAAAAATATTTTCGTGCCTGAGGCCAAACCCCCGAATGGCAATGTTTCCCATCTAAACTATAGCCTCCCACATACCCTCCTCCATAGTCATAGAGTTTAAATGTAGATCATTCAAGTTATTTATTTCTTTGCCTATATAAAGAATAGGGGCTTGTGTTAGGAAGACCATTCAGGATGGGATGGGGACTGCAAGGCAGAGTAGCATACGGCTGGCAACGTGTCAGTGATGTGTGTGTGTGTGTTAGTGCAGCTTTGTTGTTGTTGTGTCCCTTGAAGTCATTTCTAACTCATGGCAACTCTAAGGCGAACCTATCATGCGGTTTTCTTCGCAAGGATTTGTTCAGAGGTGGTTTGCCCTTGCCTTCCCCTGAGGCTGAGAGAGTGTGACTTGCTCAAGGCCACCCAGTGGGTTTCATGACTGAGTTCTGAATCGAACCCTGGTCTTCTGAGTGGCAGTCTGACACTCAAACCACTACACCATGCTGTCTCTCAAGTGCAGCTTGCATGTATGCTGTTCTCTTGCCTTTATGTTCTCTCTTCCAATGCATCAAGTCCCAGGTAGGATTGTTGCTGCTTTTTCTTACTGCTGGGAAGGAGAAGGAAGGGGAAGATGATTCAGGGCATGAAGATATGGCTACTCTGGATTCCCAAGGGAAGGAGAAGAAGGGTGCACCCCATCTATAAGTGCACTCCTGTTTTTCCTGTTTCATCCTCACCACACTGAGTCCAGCTGCCATTCTATAATCTGAATCACCTCCCCTTCTCATTGGTAAATAGCTTCCTCTGCCATCACCACCATCGCTGCCTCCCTATCCAAGGGCTTGGCCGCTACAGGGAAAAGTACTTGAAACTGCACAGCTGAAGCTAAGCTCCAATGTAGGATCTCACTCAGCCTTTACTTCCTGGCCTTTTAACCTGATGAAATACTTTATAGCTCTTTTCCATTCTATTATAAATCATGGTTTCATTATCTGTATGTCATGACCACTCTGGAAATATCAGCTCAAGGTTGGTATGTAAGTGAACAACGACCTAAATATCCTAAATAGCAATAGCATTTACATTTCTATACTACTTATCAGTGACCTCAGCACTCTCTAAGCAGTTCACAATGTGTAAGCCAATTGCCCCCAACAAGCTGGGTACTCATTTTACTGACCTACAAAAGGATGAAAGGCTGAGTCAACCTTGGAGCCCTGGGATTGAGCTCACAACCTTGCGGCTGCACAACCTTGCACTACCAGGGCTCCAGATCCTGTGTGACCTGGGATCCTTTCTGATCTTAGAAGTTAAGCAGGGTCAGCCCTGCTTAGTATCTTGATGGGAGTCTGCCAACAGATACCAAGTGCTGTAGGTTACATTTCAGAGGAAGGAACTAGCAAAACCACCTCTGAGTATTTCTTGCCTAAGAAAATCCGATGAAATCCATGGAGTTACCATATGTCTACAGGTGACTTGAAGATACACATACAGACAAAACATACATGAAAAATTATCCTCATCATAGAAAGTGCCATCACCCCCTGGCAAGTGTGAAAACGCAACAAGCTCTCTTTCCAACTGTAAATGTATTAATAGGTATTACATTCTCCCACAGATCCAAGATGATGTCTAAGCCACGGCAGGTCAAACCAGCGAGTTACTCTACCCATTTCTGATCCAGAATAAGGATGGCAAGACCTTCTTCACTGCAAGTTGGCACTGGTGCTCATCATCTAAATTCCTTAGAGTCACCCTCCCACAGCAGAAAGAGGAGGCCTTTATTTGCTTATTTAGTAAATGTATGCCCCCTCTTCCTCCTGAGATGTGAGCCAAGGCAGCTATTTTTGGCTGTTTCCCTGCGGGAAGGATTCTGAGCCCTTTTGCCAAACGTCATCTGAAGCCAGATGATCTCCCCTTCCCAGAGGAGAGACTTCACTGGGGAGGTCTTTCCTTTGCTGCTGGGCAGAGGTATTTCCCTCTATGAAACAAGCAGGCAGGAGCCCATTTTTTGACTTGGTAGCAAAGTGAGCTCAGACTTGTACAGATTACTGTATGATTTGGCTATTTTATCCAAATGAAATTAACAACCTGGCATCAAGGAAGCGGGAGCGGAGGATCATGACGGCTTCGCACGTGCTCTGCTTCAGCTGCATCTGGATAGAGCTGAATTTCCGGTGGATGATGCTGACCATGCGCTCAATCTCCTTTGGCGACACGGGGCGTGTGCGGCTCTGCTCCCGAAGCAGGTTCATTACGTGTGTCGTAAACTCATTGCAGGCCTGAGACAAGAAGACAAGTGAAGAGGCAGAGGGTGAGATGAAAGCATAGGAACTTGAACTTGCAACCACATTTTAAACTGTTCATCAGCCTCTAACAGACAAAGAAGTCAACCAATGAATTCTGTACACCATGTTTTATACACAAAATGCAAGTGCATACAATTTTGCTGTGGAGTTTTCCTCATTCTCATATAAGACTAGAATCCTTATTCACAGACTAGATGAAATGTTAAAAGACTTCTTCTACCCTTGCAGCAAGTGTTGATGTGGTGAACTGGGGATACTACTCTAAAGTGGGAGTTGTTGTGTACCTTCAAGCTGTTTCTGACTTATGGTGACCATAAAGCAAAACTATTGTGGGGTCTTCTTGGCTAGATTTATTCAGAGGTGGTTTGCCTTTGCTTTCCTTTGAGGCTGAGACAGTATGACTTGCCCAAGGTCACCCACTGGGTTTCATGGCTGAGCAGGGTTTATGTCCCCTGGTTTATACTTTGGAGGGGTTCAGATGTTTACTTTCATTAGAAATGCCTTGCTGGATCAATTCAAGATTCCCGATGCCTTGAGAAAAGCCTACTAGCAGAACATGAAGGACACTGGCTTCCAGTTGTTTCTAAGCTCAGAAAACTCTCCTCATATATGAACCTATGCAGAATTTGAATCTTCAGCAGAACTCTATGTCCTATGTGACTTCTCCAAGGTGACAAGTCTAAAACACAGTGCCTTTTCTGTAGCAGCTTCATATCTGTTGAGTTTTAGGCTGACAGTAAGATATAGAATATAGGATCTTAGAATTGGAAGGGATTGTCTGCACTGTTTTGCTGGACCTTTGGCTTTCTAAATTGTTTTGGGGTTGTTGTTTTTTAATACAACTCTGTAATTATGCAATTAGCATACACTGTCAGTCCTCCGTATCCACAGATTCCTTATTCATGAATTCAACCATCCCGACTTAAAATATTTAAAAATACATACAAATTCCAAAAAGCCAACCTTGATTTTGCCATTTTATATAAGGGGCACTATTTCTCTATGCCATTATAGTTAATGGGATTTGCACATTCATGGATTCCGGTATCCATGGGGGGGGTCCTGAAACCAACGCCCAGTAGATACTAAGGGCCCACTGTAGCTTGTTATTTGGTTATTTCTTTTGCCCACGGTTATAGCAGGATTGTTATTGTAAGCCAAATGTATAAGACAGTGGTACAAGAGTTGCGGAAGGAGGGGCACAAAACTTGGAGGCTCTGAACCCCCTTCCTTGAATTTACTTAAATAAAACTGTTCTAATTGGAATGATGTCATTTCTTTATAAAATCTTAAAAGCATGAATATACACGAATGTGTAAATGAAAATACACACACTAAATAAACAAAATATTTCTATTCATGTACTATACTGAGTGTAGATGTAAAGGAGGGCCAAGGGTAAAACGTATGTGCATCACAGGTATACGAGATCAAGGGAGCTAACGCCTTGTCACACCCTGTGCTGCACTGTTAAAATTTTGAGAACTGTTTTGGAATCCCAACAGAAATCAGGGAAAGGGGGTTAATTTACCCAAAAAGAAAAGACCCAATCTAGCAATCGGTAGTTGCTGGGGCAATGAATCTGCTCTCAGTTTTAGGAGCTATTCAAGATTCTGAGCTGATGGCGGGGAATAAAGTTCAGCGCCTTGGATAGCTTCTTTATGATGTCTGGATTAAAAACCAGAATGGATTTGTTGCCCCACTGGCAAAACGACAATTAGCTCCCACTGATTGTGAGGCTTATAAACTCTAAGCCAGGGGCTTATAAACTCTAAGCCAGGCCCCCAGGGGTCAATTCTTCCTCCAAAATGGCCCCAAGGGGGTGTGAAGAGAGTTTCCACCATGTTTGGAGGCCCCTTTGGCCCCTCTAGGGTTGAAAAAAATTGCAGTTTTTTCCCTTAAAAAATATTTTTTTACAATGACCTCTAGGGGACATGGGATATTTCCACCATGGTTTGTGGTTCCCCAGACCAATTTAGGGGGGTTGCAGATTGCCAGAAATAGTGCAAATTGAGTCCACTTTTAGGGTTAGGGTTAGTGCTAGGGAATCATGGGAATTGGTGTTTTTTTTCCTGAGACATTGAGCCTTTTCAGTCAGAAAGAGCCTTATTTTTGAAACAGGAAATGAACAGGAAATGACTCTCACTCACTTACTGTTGTTTAAAAAAATTCTTCTCCTGGACCTGAAATGGACCAAGAAGTCTGCACAATGTGGTGCAAAAGAGAGCCTTTGGGGGCAAAAAAACTTATTTTTATTTTTGCAGCAGTGTGCCAGCCTGGCTCTTAGTGATTTCTGGGGTACAAATCCTGCTCCCTACTCTTACACAGCCTCCCATCTCTGCTCTAAGCATTATATTAAGCATGGGGAAGATATTTCCATAGATTCTGGAGATTACAACTCTCAGAATCTAGTGACCAGGCTGACTGAGGGTTTTTGGGATTGCTGATCCAAAAAAGTTATTTTTGTCCAAGTCTTGGCTTTGTATCTTTAATATAAATGGAGGACAGTCACTTGGTATTTGCTCTGCCTGGGCTCTGGAGACCAAAAGCAGAGTCTTCAAGCATTCTCAAGACAGGCAAAGAGACAACGGAGGAGCTGTGTGCCTTCAAGTCCTTTCTGGTTAACGGTGACCTTATCATGGAATTTTGTTGGGAAGTTTCTGCAGAGCAGGTTTGACATTGCCATCCTCTGAGGCTGAGAAGACTTGCTCAAGGTGGGGTTAGATGCTAAACCAGTAGCTTTGGATGGCTAAACCAGTGGGTTTAGAAATGGTTGAGCCAGGATTCAAATCCTATACTCCAGTCATAATAACCCAATGCTGTTTGGCAGGCCGTATCTCCCTGTATGAGCTGGCCCGGGCTCTGAGATCCTCAGGAGAGGTCCTTCTCTCTGTCCTACCACCATCACAAGCACAGTTGGTGGGGACACAAGAGAGGGCCTTTTTCGTGGCTGCCCCTAAACTGTGGAACTCCCTTCCCAGGGAGGCCAGCATGGCTCCCTTCTTGTTCTTCTGCTGGCAGGCTAAGACCTACCTGTTCAAACAGGCATTTAAAAGAGAAGATTTTTAAAGATCAGGCTGAGTGTTGTAGTGTTTTAAAGTGTTTTAAACACTTTTAAAACTGTATTTTTTATATGCAATCTGTTTTAATATTATAATACAGTAGGTCTTTGCTATCCACTGGGGTTTGGTTCCAGGAC